ATGTGTCTCTCTCACTTACTCAGTGTGCTTGGCTCCATGCTGCAGTGGCTCCTCCGGATCCATAGAGGGCACTGTGCTGCAGGCAGGGTCTGACAAGCGCAGTGTAGGGGTTTTGTTCCCAGAGCTCCTTGGTGCGCTGTCCACTTCAGCACCACAAAGCCGAGCGGAGGCAGCGGGCTAGCTAACACGGGTGGGACTGAAGATACGGCTTAACATCAGCACCAGCGCCAACCCGAGTCCCAGATACAGAAAATACTGAAAATTAGCCAGCGATATTCGACAGAAACACCGACAGCAACGAGTCAAGCGACTACAAAAAAGGTAACAGTTTTCGAAGAAGCTCAAATAAGATCAAGTTGGTGGATAATAACGGGCATCCCAGAAGAAAAACGCGCTCCCCTTCCCTTCCTGCTTCATAAATACTGCATGACCTTATTAAGGCTGTGTTTACGTTAGCTTCCAGTCCTGTTTGCACAGCACGTATTCGCCTTATTGCGAGTTTGTTAGACACAAAGAGGGACACTTCAGTGGTATAAAGCTGTAGGGTGACCGTATGGGCAGCCTCTCCTCGCTTTGCAGATGGTGCTGTTTTATAACTCGTCGATTTCCGCCCGCTTGCTACCCTGTGACCAGCTGCTGTTTCCTTTTTATTCCCCTCTGTCCTGGCTGCGGGACATTTAATATCTCCACTACCGTTTTGTGAACCGAGTGGCGTGTTATGTGGCTAAACCGCCTCCGGTGTACCGCTGTTCATTTGCGGAATTAGCCAAGACTGACACAGCAGCAAATTCATCTGTCAAGCTCTGGTTGCATATGTGCATTTGGGTTAAAGGAAATATGTGTAAGCGTGTATAGTTTACTAGTGAATACTTAAAGCTTTCCTATGGGACACCTTATCAGTGATTGTGAATACTTTATGAAAGATATCTATCTATCTATCTATCTATCTATCTATCTATCTATCTATCTGTCTATCTATCTATCTATCTATCTATCTATAGCACTGTAAAACTAACGTGTATTGCTGTGCTATATGTGTGCAAATGAACTGTGTGGTAGGAAAGACCTAGAGAAGAATCAGAGTTGAAGCAGATCCCATAGGGATTAGTGTTTGGGGGGGGGGTTATTAAAAAAAACAAACATGTTTTTAAAGCATTTATATAATATAAAAGTCGGTATTGTGAATATCATCATACGTTTTAATGTATGATGGCTTCATCACCTTTTCCAGGTGATGTCAAATCCCCCTGTGTAATGGAGCAAATGTCATAACGGTTCTTCTTCATAATAGTGATATATGTTTAAATATTACAGAGTGAATACAGCATAATATACGCTCACTGAAATCCCTTCTGTGATAGTCTGGTTACTGTTGCGGAATTTCCCCCTCCTGCTTCTTTAATCCATGAAATTGAAATGTTATAATGTGACACTGGAAATGAGCCAAAGACTTGGTGGTTCCAGCTTTAAATGGTTGTAAATTCTATATTTTACAACTGCTTGTCAGACAAAAGCATCTCTCTGAAGATGTCCCCTTGGGCTTTGGAAAAATGTCACAGACATCTTTCTGTGCTTGCTAAACCAAACAATTAAATAATTAAGGAATATGATCTAATGGCAAAAACCTACAATCCATCATACTGCTGCTTAATTGTATTGCGATATGCAGCTCCTGGGCAAAACTCACAAATCCCTCTGCTCTCCGTGCCCACATAGCAAATCACTGTTTGCCTCAGTCCTTATGAAAACCCCATGAATCAGTAATCAGTGCTCTCTTCGTGATCGGGCAATAAGAAAAAGCCAGCAGGAGTCGAGTGAGTGACAGGACATTGGCGGTGCTGACCTGATACTCTGTTACATAGGACTTGGAGCGGCGCCTTGCTGGCCTGGCCAAACGAAAATACTGACTGAATCTCTGAAAGCAGGAGGCTTCCATTTTGCCACAGCGCTGCCATCGGTGAGATAGGCCCAGGTGAGGTAAGAGGCTGATAGAGGGATTAGCTAGTATTAGGATGTGGATGCTCATAGTGGTGTGAGAGAAATGTCACTCACTCCCACTCTATCTTCCCCTGCCGTCTCTCTCTCTGGCTCCTCTGGCTCCACAAAGCATCTGTCTCCTGCTTGCTCTGCATTCACATTGATCCTAGATGAGCAGTGATACCCCACCGCCATCGTCCCCACCTACCCTCTCTCCGCCAGCACCACAACCACTCTGCAGCATCTCAGTGGTTCTCCTCACTGTCCCTCATCGCCACATGCCGCTTCATGCCTCCCTGCACTCTCCTCTCATGGACACACACACACACACACACACATGCCTGCTGCTGTCCTGATTCCTCCTCCTCTTTCTGCTCTCCTAATATACTTAGATTGAGTAAAAAGGAATACTATGTGAAGCAAACAGAAATAATATTAAAAGATTATGGGAAATACTGAACTATCCCAAGTATTTCATTTGTAATGACCATGAAGAATACAATATGGATGTTGTGGCAAATAGTCTCAATGAATTCTTTGTAACTGCTGGACCAAATTTAGCCAGAACAATCACTTATCCTGGGAAAGCACAGGAAAAATCGGACACACTGATTGATAGAAA